AAAAAGATAGATATCCCTACGATAACCCAATAACTACTTTAAATGACAATATCATACAAAATGTTAACGTGGCAGCATATAGCATATTGGTTATCCACATATAATAAGTCACAGAGTAAAATAACTAAATATTTTATTGAAATCATCAACTTGTATCTACAATACCTTCTATATTAGTTAATAGGTAGGTACTAGAATATTAGATAAGATCAGATTAAATAACATCGCCTTACCAACATTCACCAATATTGTTGTATAAATGTCGACATTCGCTAGTAAATGCTTACAAACAGTACAAATTTAATTAATATGCCAACATTCACCAATGACTTTGGTGTATGACGACATTAAACGGTGACTGTCAGAACTCATCATTTGTGGACTTTCGCAGTAACATATATAATATCTATACGCAAATTATCTATACGAATTCATATGTAACACATACACAGCGATTCCTCCATACACCTACTGTACAGCACAGTGGTACCTAAGTTTTTTACTTTACTTGTATTATTATAATATTTTGATATAGCTAAAAAAAATGTAAGAACCCAATTGGGAGATGCACGAGAGTCATTTAGAAAGTTGGCTGAAACAAATGCCCAACATATGGATGTAAATAATAATACATTTATTTGTATGAAGATATTCTTTTAATGATTAAAATTATTTTGGTACTTTTTCAGAATATAAGTCAATCTATTTCTCAGTTGGCAAAAGCTATGAATAAAATGGCTGAAAACGATGAACGGAGATTAACAAACGAGGAAAACATGGTATCTGTTATGAAACTGTTAGTTGAAAAAATGTAGTTCCTAGATGACTAATGTTAACTATTATTATTATTTTGTTTTATTCAGAAGTTTATTTTATTTTTCATTTTTTTAATACATTTATTATGTTACTATTGTGTTAATATTTATTTTTATGTTATTTTCAAAAATGTTGTTGTGTTTAAGAAGTGTCTATTTTGATTTATTATTAATATCGAAAATTTAACAAAATCAGATGGTATTTCAGTGTATTTTGTTAGAAATTTATTAAAAGTAAATTATGTACACAGAGAATTATAATAATTAACATTTTGAGATCAATCATTTTTTTTGTATTTTTATACAAAATTATTTAAACAAAAAAAATAAACAGAAACAGAAATATACCAAACATGACAAACAGGGCCACAAAGATTCAGCAAACTTATATCTATAATGAATACTGAATACACAGCCTCCCCTAAAACAATTATTAGCGCCCGGCCTTGCTAACAAATGGTATTTGAAATATTATGATACATATAAATTATTGATCACCATCGACATAATTAGGGAACTAGTTTGCCAGTTAACTGTTTTTGTATTCTCATAGCAACCACCCTTGGTCCTCTTCTATCTTCGATTTCATTGTTTTCGTTAATTCTATAATTTCCTTCAACTGGTTCTTGTTCAATACAATCTTCGAAAGGCTGAATAGGAAGACGATAATGAACACGCATGTTGTGTATAACGGCGCGTGCATTTACAATTTTTCCAGCAATTTCAGGTGCATACATCAAAACACGTTGATATGAGAGGCATCTCCACATACTTTTGAATACACCAAAAATTCTTTCAACAATGTTTCTGGCTTTGCAGTGTTTTTTTGTATATTGATACTGTAGTGTCCCATTTGGATAACGTGTAAGTGGTGTTAAAAGCCAAGGCTCAAGAGGGTAACCAGCATCACCTTGAAATAATCATGAACATTTTTAAGACTCATATAATTCAATAGTTAGTTTTATTAAACATTTAATATTATTAGTACCAATTAACCATGTGTATCTTTCACCCCTATTGTAATGAAATTCCATAGCCCTCCGTATAGAAGAAACACTCCATATGTATGAATCATTTCTTGCACCTGGGAATCTGGCGTTAATATTTAATATTTTTTACTCTGGATCGACAACCTATAATTAAAATTTCAAAAATTATTTGTGTTTCACAATTTATATTATTATTCAATACATACCACTTAAACATTAAGAGAATGGTTCCCATGATGATTCACGTATGCTTCTTCATGATTCTTTGGCGCAAGAATATTTATGTGTGTGCAGTCAATAGCACCAATAGCACCCTCAAATGCTTGTGGCGCATTTGAAAACTTTTCTCGAGCATTGTCCCTTAACTTAACCTAACCTAACCTTTGGAATATGGAATTGTTGTATGGCATCCATATTTGGCTAAAGACCAATTACGCCTAGAGCGAGTTCAAAACCGATTCCTCTCATACGCTGCCTGCACATGCTACACATAACTTAACCTAACCTAACTTGCTCAAGATTGTTCACCCGCCCCATGACTATTCATCCATTAGATCCTCCTTGAATATCCCTCTTCTCTCTTCTCGACGTATAGAGGCTAATTTTTCCTTCGTCACCTCTCTTCTTAATGGCACTGTTGATGCCCCTGACCTTCTTTCCTCTATCTCTTTCCGCGTTCCTGTACATTACACTTAAAATCACTCTCTTTACCTTGTCCCTTCTAACCGTTTCAACTACTCTCATAACCATATTTTGCACAGAAAGCTCCGTCTGCTCAATAACTATTTTAAATATTGTATATATTACTTAAGTAAGTTAATTTTTAGTTGTATTATTATGTTATGTTTTTATTTGTACTAAATATTTAATTGATTGCACTGTAAATTCCTGTTTTACCTTGTTTTTTCTATAAGATTACTTCATCACTATTATTACTATATTTTTTTCTGTATATAACTTGTATTGTAAATATCTTGAATTGCCGATTGGCGTTAAATAAAAAAAATAAAATAAAATAAAATAAATAAATTATATTATCCATTTATACAAGCCCACTTTCCTATTGTCATATATGCACTTTTCAAGTGATATACCTCTACCGACGTTTGAGGCGCCAAAAGACCATAAATTAACCGGTTACAGTTTGGCTCTCAAAAGTGGGTGTAACACGGTTGCGCCCGTTTTACCTTTTATACCTGCATGTAATGCAACACGATTATGCTCCAATTATATATATGTATAAATATTTATATGTGTCCCGTATATTATGTATATATCATATATATATGTTCTAACGATTTTCTAGTGAACTATTTAAAAATAATTTTCCTTCCAATTTTACTGGGTTAGGACTCACCACAAAATTAAATTGTTAACTTGGTTAAAAATTTGGAGTTACATTTTTTGTTTAAATTTTTAATACCAATAATAATAATAATAATAATATGTAAAATAATATGTAAATAATTATAAAAAAAAAAAATCAAGTCCAAGGAAAACCAAGTCCGACTGTATTTTTAAATAGTGTACTTGAAAATTGTTAAAATATATATATGACATATACATAAAATACGGGACACATATATATATATTGGAATGCAATCGTGTTGCATAATATGCAGGAAAAAAAGATAAAACGAGCGAGACAGTGCTAATTGATCGAGCGCAATCGTGTTGCCTTTTTTGAATAGAAAAATTTAAGCCGGGCGCAATCGTGCTGCACCGCTCAAAAGTCGATATCGTTACTTTACTGCTTAGACTTTTCAATCCTCAACAACCATGAATTAACCGGTTACAGATTGGATTGAAAAAAATACAATAACCTAAGATTACTGAGCGATAAGGCTGCGCACCGGAGCCGACGACGTGTGTACGTGTGTGTGTGTGCCACACGCAACCCGTCGTATGAGAATGTTCGTCGTCTGTCGAGTAGTCGTGTGGGTAGGAGAGAGTGGACTGTATATAGGATAGGGTTAAGTGTTTTGAGTTTATGTATAAATTAGAGGTGAGCGCAACGATTAACAACAATGTTTTCGAGGTATATGACAATGTACAGAACAATTTTATTGGGTGTTCTGCAATAATTGATGTCTAAAAACTAGTGTTAGTAACAAACTGATAATTGAGCGCGATCACAATACAACCGGCATATCAATAAAAAGGTAAATTCAAATAATTCAAAATACAATTAATATAGGTACAAAATTGAAAAATATGTCGGTTTGTTGACAAATAAATAATAATACTATCGTGTGTACGACCTGATAAGTACAGCTGGTAGGTGATACCACGACGATGGTGCTGCGGTTAACCTGGAGTGACGATGAAACGGCTGTGGACGTTGATGGGGCGTGCAACACTTGCACTCCCGTCGAATGCGACAACTGGGTCGGCGACACCGGGTACGTGCTGCCGGTGGTCGACGGTCGTATGGAGATCGGAGGCGATCCAAAACGGGACGACGCGGATACGAATTATGTACTTACGGTGTACTTTGTCGAGGCGTAGAAAACGGCACTGACGACAACAAAATTATTAACGCACGGTGCGCACTGCGTACGGCGGTACCGGCGGCGTGTGCCTAACGGCATGAGACACGGGCGGAACAAGGTAAATCGCACTGCATACATCGACGGGCGGGCGATACCGGAAAAAAGTGTGAATTCGTGGTTATTCGGCGCAGGCGGCCACAGAACACGATTCGTGTGTGTGCTAACGACACGAAATCACGGACATCACCCGGTTCGGAGCAACACGTACAAAAAACTATGGCGGTTTGACGGCGACGGCACACCGGGTCGCGTTAGTCAATCAAAACATGCGGTTTTGAAAAGAGTGCCAAGACGGCTGAGCAACGACGACGAGACGGCGGCGGGACACCGGCGACCGTCGGCTAGACCACGACGGTTCCGGCCCCTCTCCGGCGGTACAAAGTTCACTCCGCGTGTGTATCGGCGACGTGTGTATAGCAAACAGCCGCGCAACGCGATAAGGAGGATTTGTGTACCCAACATTTCCTCCCCCGTTGAAAGACCGCGTGGACTTTCAAAAAAAAAACCATCAGAGCAGAAGATTGTTGAAAAACCAGATCGCACACATTACAATTACGAGAACAAAAAATACATAAAAATACAATTATACAAAAAAAATATTTCAAAAGGAAGGATGGAGGATGTAGAGGGGATGTCAGGACTGTCTACCCATCGGTTGGCAACTTGACCACTTTGACGACTGGTCGCTTCATCTCCCCATCTTGTGTCTTAATCGTGACAACGCGGACCGTCTTATCAGGACCTGGGTGGACCGCTGTGATGCGTCCCATTCGCCACACGGAAGGGGGTTGATTTGGAGCCTCAACAATCACGAGATCATCCACCTTGAGGTTGTCCTGGATGGCAGTCCATTTTTGACGACTCTGCAACGTATTTAGGTATTCCTGTGCCCAGCGTTTCCAGAATGACTGATGCAGCTGTCGAAGGAGCTGCCAACGTGTGAGCCGATTTGTTGGAACCTCGGTGATGTTCTCCTCCGGTACTGCTAGAAGTGGCTGTCCGATGAGAAAATGTCCAGGTGTCAAGGCCGTTAAGTCATGTGGGTCCATGGAAGCTGGAGTGAGTGGACGCGAGTTTAGAATTCCTTCGACTCGAACACATAATGTCTCGAGCTCTTCATAGGTGAGCACCTGAGAACCAATCACTCGTTTCAAGTGGAACTTCACAGTTTTGATACCCGCCTCCCAGAGACCGCCAAAATGTGGTGCGGCTGGTGGATTAAAATGCCAGTTACAAATTACGTGTGTGGATACTTGAGTCTGGACGTCCTTGTTGCGTAACAGAAGTTTCAGTTGACGGGCGGCGCCAATATAGTTCGTGCCGCAATCAGAAAACACATGTGCTGGTACACCCCGGCGTGCAATAAATCGGTCTAGGGCGGCGAGAAAGGCGTCAGTCGTCAAATCAGAGACAATTTCAACATGTATGGCTTTAGTGGCCATGCATACAAATAATGCGATGTAAACCTTAGGGGTCTTCGTGTTTCGTCTTTTGCATTCTTTAATGAGGTATGGTCCTCCATAATCCGTGCCCACACTAGAAAACGCGCGGACCGAATGAACCCGAGCTTCTGGGAGTATGCCCATACGGGGTGTTGGATGTAGTGCTTTGTGTCGAGTGCATGTGACGCACTTAAAAATGACACGGCGGACGGCCCCTCGACACGACACAATCCAAAATTCCTGACGTAACATCGCGATAATGAGTTTCGGTCCTGCATGTAATAAACTTCGGTGAAATGCGGTGATGAGCAGTGATGTGACATGAGATTCTTTCGGCAGTAAATACGGGTGTTTCGCATCGTCACTCAACATTGATCGCTGCAGCCGACCGCCTACTCGAATTAAACCAGTATGATCCAGAAAAGGAGCTAGTTGAGCCATAGTAGGAGGGGTTACTATGTGGTTGGGTTTGGCCAGCTGTTTTAGGAGTTCTTGAAAATGTGTTCGCTGAGTGACTCGGACGGCAAGTCGCATGGCACGCTGCAATTCATCTGGTATGAGACAGTCTGCGTCAGTAGGGCGCTTAAGAATTACTCGATCTATGAAGCGCAAAGCATATGCTAATGCTCGTTGAAGACGAGACCACGATGAAAATCTAAGTAAAAAGTTATCAAAGTTCGGCGCTTCACGTACAACCAATACGCACGCGGACGTATTCTTCACCTCAGGTAAGTGTTGAGGACTGAGCGATTGGATGAGTGGCCCTGGCCAACTCTTTTCCAGAAAATGTATGAACGGTGGACCTTTCCAATGCAAGCTACACGCTACGAGGTCGTCGGGCAATAATCCACGTGAAGAAGGGTCGGCAGGGTTATCCATAGTAGACACATGAGACCAATCGCAATCTGGGAGTAGGCAACGGATCTTGGCTACTCGGTTGGTAACAAAAATCTTAAAAAACTTTTGGTCGGTAGTGAGCCATGACAGCACTATAGACGAATCTGTCCACGCACGCACTTTTGAAACCGGAACAATAGCTGTGATTTTCAGGTAGAGCCGTTGCAACATTTGAGCCAGCAAGAGGGCTGCGCATAACTCTAACCTAGGTATGGTGAGAGACTCGTCCTTTTCACTTCCTTTCAAGGGAGCTACCTTGGTCTTGCATGTCACAAGGGAGATGGACACCTTGTCCGTTCTATCGACAACGCGGAGGTAGACCGTAGCAGCATAACCCTTCTGCGATGCGTCGGCAAACCCTAATAGTTGGATATCTTGAAATCCTCTGGTGTCAATATGGCGAGCGATTTCTATGTTGCTCAACGACGGTAACTCTGCCAAGAAATGACGCCATGCTGTCTGTAGATGTAGCGGAAGCGGAGTGTCCCACTCTAATTGTGTCTGCCAAAGTTGTTGCATGAATGATTTCGCCCACAATAACATCGGACCTAGAGCACCAATGGGGTCGAACAATCTGGCAATGGCAGATAATACCCCTCGCTTTGTATTGGGCGTGTCCTCGACATGCGTGTGATAACCAAAGGCATCGGTAACGGGGTCCCAATGTAGGCCGAGTACTTTCAATGACGAATCATCTTTAGGTTCGAAGGAGGGACAGTTAGCTCGATCTTCAGGCGGAATGCAGTCCAAAATCCTGGAGCTATTGCTACACCACTTTTTCAGGCTACAACCAGCTGAACGAAGTAGTCCTATTGTAAGATTTTGCACCTGACTCAATTCCGCTTCCGTATTCCGTCCAACCACAATGTCGTCGACGTACGTATGATTAGTTAAGACGCCCTTAGCGGCGGAAAATAGTGGTTCCGCGCAAGCGTCCAAAGCGTGTAAGACACGTATGGCCAAGAATGGAGCGGAACTCAAACCATATGTAACTGTCAATAATTCGTACTCCTGGATCTCCTGTTCCGGGGAATGGCGCCAAAGGATGTGTTGGAACACGCAGTCTTCATCACGGACCTTGATCTGACGGTACATTTTAACAATGTCGGCAATGAAAATATATTTGTATAACCGGCATGTGAGTAAGAGTTCACTTATGTCATTTTGTAATTTCGGCCCGACACAAAGAGTATCATTGAGAGAGACCCCTGACGATGACTTTGCTGACGCGTCGAAGACGACCCGTAATTTGGATGTATCGCCATCCCGCTTCACTACCGCGTGGTGAGGTATATAATATTTACCAGGTCGGGTGGCGACCTTCATGTGTCCTAATGCCAGGTAGTCATTCATGAAAGATCGATATGACTCGTACAACAGTTTGTCCTTTTGGAGGCGATGTTCCAAGTTCAGTAGACGTTTCAAAGCTAAAGATCGGGATTCTCCAAGTTGACATGTTAACGACCTAATTCCGGACTTTGGACGGGCTATTTGAATTCCCTCGTCATTAATGAAAACGTGGTGTCGGAACGGTAAAGCAACACAAAAACGCCCATTTGCATCTCGCGATGTAGTTTTGGTAAACCACCTTTCACACAGCTCATCTTCCGTGGTAGGAACTGCAGGAGCGCCGGGTTCTTCAATTGACCAAAAGCGATGTAATAAAGTGTCTATCGACGGATTAGATGTAATCAACAATGATATACGCGGGACCGAAGCCCTTCCAAGAGGGTTCACTAATCCCATAATAATCCATCCCAGATGGCTGTCCATGGCTGATGGAAAACCGGCAGTGTGTTTTACTATCGATTCAGAGCGAATAAGAAACGGATATAAATCACCTCCAAGTAGCATGTCGATCTGAGACGGAGTGTCGAACTGGGGATCAGCTAATACCAAATGTTGATAATGTGTGCGTACCTCTGTCGGTAGTGGCGTAGACGGCAACGTAGACGTTAACTTGGGAAGTACTATTAACTCGTGGCAATTAAATTTTGGACTCGATGTATGGTGCGGTATGAACGAACAAGACGTGCTACCTCTAACTTGGGTAACCGGACTTTGAGATAGACCAACTATTTCACTTTCACATTTCCGTCGTGATAAACCAATGCGAGCTACGCAATCCGTAGTGATTGCCGAAATTTGAGACCCGCTGTCCAATAATACGCGCACAATATGATATTTTCCACGCGCATCTAGAACTCGAACAATGGCTGTACCCAATAACACCGTAGTGCCCGACGACGCTGACATGCCCGAAAACTTAGAATTGACGCTTCCACCCTCCCCGCCATCGGTTGAGACGCGTTCCGGAATGGTGCTGGTCGTAGGTTCTGATTCTGATGGAAAATGTAACAAAGTGTGATGACGTTGTTGACATTTTCCACAAAGGTATTTGGATTTACATGTGTCTACCATGTGCGTCGAACTCAGACATGAAAAACATAATTTATTTGTTCGAACGTATTCCCGACGTCGTGGCACGGAATATGTTTTAAATTCCGCACAGTGATATAGAAAGTGTTCACCACGATTACAAATAGTACAATGTTTTGCCTTATTCGATTTTGACGAATACGACGACACACCTTTAGTCTTATGAGCAGCATTACTCGCAGCGGTAAACGCCAACTTCGGTGCGATGGATTTCTGAGATTTATTAGATCGAGTTTCGGTTTTGTCAACACCCTGGACGTTTTCCAATATTTTCACACGTTTTTGAACAAAAGTAACGAGAGTATCAAAATTCGGGATAGTGGATTGACAAACATCCGCTTCAAACAACTGACGTGTTTTCGGATCTAATACCCGTGAACCCAAAAAAAACAACATAAAGTCCGCGAGATCTTCGACTTCGAGTAATTTTAACGTAGAGACATTTTCCTTGAAGATATTTAAAAACGCAGTCAGGGCTGGTACTGATTCTTGAGCCATCGGCTTGAACGTGAAAAGTTTGTCCAAATGAGCAGTTGCGAGCAATCGTTTGTTTTCGAATCGGTCGGTGAGCGCCGCCCATGAAACATTATAATTCGACGCGGACAATGGAATTGATTTAATTACGGATAGTGCAGACCCGGTCAAACTCTGTGACAATAACTGAAACTTGTGTATATTGTCGAAGTTGGTATCATCATGAACAAATGATTTAAAACTATCACGGAATGCACACCAGTTTACTATGGACCCGTCGAAAGACGGCAATTCAATTTTTGGAAGCGCACTAAACGATTGCCGAATAGGCAGCGGTTGTATAGCCACGGTTGCTTCAGACACGCGATCAACTATTCTGTAAATTTCGTCGACAACGGCTTCGACGGTATCGGTTACGGGCGAATCGACCGATTCGTATTCATCGGAACGACCGACAATGACCAATGAATTAATAATAACAGTTTGTTCAGCTTGAAAATGGGAAAAAAGATTATCTAACCGTTTTAAACTTGCGGATAATTGTTCCCGTTTCTCGGTATTGCTCATAGATAACTTCGCGACGTCTAAAATATCCGATATTGATTTTTGTGCACGGTTACGTGCAATACGAGCACATTCCAACGCTTGCTCGGCCGTTTCATCTTTTTTAGTTTTCGGTGGCATTATCGACAAGTATTAGTAAAACGTGCCAACGTTAACTACTAAAAGAACAATTTGATACGAAAAACAACGATTTTGTGAACAATCCGGACCGTATGGACCAAACAATGAGCGATAAGGCTGCGCACCGGAGCCGACGACGTGTGTACGTGTGTGTGTGTGCCACACGCAACCCGTCGTATGAGAATGTTCGTCGTCTGTCGAGTAGTCGTGTGGGTAGGAGAGAGTGGACTGTATATAGGATAGGGTTAAGTGTTTTGAGTTTATGTATAAATTAGAGGTGAGCGCAACGATTAACAACAATGTTTTCGAGGTATATGACAATGTACAGAACAATTTTATTGGGTGTTCTGCAATAATTGATGTCTAAAAACTAGTGTGCGACGGCTGCACATCAAGCCGGATGACGCGTGTACACGTATGCGTGCGCTGTCGGCGACCAACACGTACCGCGTCCTGTGCGATTTTTCACGTCGTTGTTGACCTGTCGATAACCCTGTAGGAAGGGGAGAGTGGACTGTATATGGTAGGATAGGTTCGAGAATATGAGAGTTCAGGTGTGAGGTAATGAGCGATATCTAATCAACAAGAACAATATTTAGCTATGAAAGGTACAGGGTAATTTATTACAATATGCTGCAAAATCAGGTAACTTATTACTAATGTTAGTAGATACTAATATTATGATCGTACATCGATTGACATAATTCGAATGACAGTTGAATAAAACAAAATAGAATGTCGCGTAGGACAAGTAATAATTACAAAAAAACAGAACAATGAACAAAACAAATGATAACGGTGTGTACGACCTGAACGAATGGCTCTTAGCAGGAAAAATTTTTTGTAGAATCCATGACGTCATATCTCATGAAACTGTGATAAGGCGAACTATGATAACAATGATAACGAGAATATCAAATAATAATACTACCTATTAAATAGCAAAATAGTAAATTATAATATAATATTATATAATATTATTTTTATTTTATAAATGGTATATTAAAGTATTTTACTATACTATTACCTCTCTGCTAAAAAGTAAATAGTTAAAAATAGTTTAAAATTAACAGTGAAACTAAAGATAATCCTGATAATCCAAAAAGGGTGAGAACTCCGGAACATATTAAACGATAAAGAGGAGATAGGTAAACTAATTTATTACTACATTGTTGGTGTTGTATGCAGGTGGTCTGGCTCAGTGAATACAATTATTGCTGGTAAATATTTGACTTAAATAAAAGTAGATACATAAATATTCTGGGTACCTAGTAAGTTAATTTATTTTACTTTATCATATTTTGAATCTGTATGTACTATTTTATATTCACCAAGGCAGGGCAAATTAATGTTTTACCCTCAGATATTGAATCTAATTGATCAAACAAAACTTGTTAATAACATAAATACATAATACATCTTTGACGACTTAATAAATATGAAAATTTAATTTTGGAAATATCTAGTTGTCAGTTAATACATTATGGTTACAATTATAATATACAACTCTGAAATAACATAAAAAAAAATAGTAAAAATAATATTGCAACAAAAAAATTGAAGTGTCAATCATATTAGATAAAATAATTAAAATGTCAATAATTTATAGATAATAATAGTTAATAGATAGGTAATCATAATTTATAAATAGGAGTGGTCAAACATTTGTGTTGTACTTATGAATAAAGTTTCATTGGAAGAATTCCTTAATGATTCTCTAATATGCTTACTCTCATTAGATGATAAAGTAGGTGGTTCAATTCTTTTTTTTTTGTTGGTAAAAAATCTGGTTTGAGGTTCAATATTTCTCTTCTTTCCTACATTTGAAGTATTTTTAAAATCTGTATTTTTGGCCAATTTCGAAATTATTTTATCACATTGTTTTATTATATATTTTTGATCTATGTCATTTAACTTGGTACGATTCACCATTCCCAGTATTGACTCTAACTTATTTGTGATTTCACCTGTATTATCTGTATTTTCATCTAACTTTGGCTGAGTTTCGTTTGGTTGTAGGAAACCATTATCAACAGCTAATTCATATGTTAAAGATGTTGAAGTTACTGCAGGTTTACATGGTAATAAAATATTTTTTTTTTGTTTTGCACATGCATGAATATGCTTGCAAATATTAAAGTAAATTACATTATTCATGCATGAGCACTTATAGGTATGAACACATATCTGGCATTCAACACAACTCAAAACACATTCACTACATGAAAAATTTGTTTTCTCAACTTTATAATGGACATTGTAGTTAGTTGTAGAATTAACCAACCAGTAACCATCAACTTCTGATATCATATTTGATGTTACCTCAGAAGATTTTTTATGAGCTGCAATAATTTGATTAATTTTAGAAGTTTTTTTTTGTTTTGCAATTTTAATAATCCTTTCAAAACTTTTATCCCTAACTAATGACATAAGTGCATTGATTGACAGATCTAAGCATTTACATTTTTTCCCATCTAAATAACTATATTTTATGGTTTTGTGAAGTGCCTCTAAGTACATATTTGTATTTATACCAATGTGTTTTCTATTGAAATATGCCCACTTTTCTACTCTACATGAATACATCATTTTAAAGTACTTCCCAAAATCTTCAGTCTCTGTATCATTAAATAAGTCATCTAATACTTTTTGGAGTTCAATATAAAAATAATGTTCATTAGTTTCATACAACAATGCTTTTAAGGTTTTGAATACAATGGTTTTCTTTTCATTACATTGTATTTTGCTTAAATTTTTTGTCCAATTTCTTAATACATGCCAAGTACATAAAAGCTGTTTTTCTGCAGGACCCATAACAGCGTTCCAGGCATTATAGAACGCTGGTTCATCATCGGACATAAACACATTTGCTGTAACTTTACCGGTTACATTTTTAATGCACTGAAAGTAATGTTTATATAAAGCGGTGTCAGATTTATTAGAAAAACAAAATGCAACGGGATATCCGTTTCCAAACTCATCCACCACAACTATAGTATACAACTGAAAATTATACCCATTTAACCCATGAGTTCCGTCTATACATACTTTATCATTTCCAAATTTCATTAGTAACTCTGACTGAAACTGTGTCATTATGATTAGACAAAAATCATCTTTTGTAAAACTTTGAACATTATTGTCACTGTTTCCCTGTTGTTTAAAATATATTATTGGACTTTCATCACCTTTCGCTATCATCTCTTTTACCCAAAGATTAACACTTATTAAATCGTTTTCATGTCTTTTGGTAGCATATGATATATTATAATCTATTTAGATACATAAAAAGGTTAAATTAAATTACACACTTAGAGGAAATGAATTGTTATGGTAGTTACAATGTACATATTATATAGTTTATTGTTCATATTATAGGACGCCTACAGAATACTTACTAATATTATTAGCCATTACTCGACAGCTGAAATATGAAAAATCAAATTCATTCGGCTTTGCTCTGTTATTTCTTAATTTATCAGCAGTTGAGCCATTGTTTGGCCAAGCACATTTCGATTTGTCTTTATTTAACCAATGTGTTGGAACTAGTTCCACAGAATTGTCGGCGTCAAAATTAACTATTGACCACATGTTTTATGCTGTGAAGCGGTAAGTAGCAGTTTATAATTAAAATTGTTAGTGCAATAACAATTTTTGTAGTGTAATAAAGTGTAAATAACAATATAAAATATAATAATAGGTATTTAAGTAGGTATTAAAACATTTGAGGGTAAGAAATCAAAATAAAAGTCTCTCCTTTAGGTCTTCCCAGAAAAAATTAGTAGGTAGGTACCTATCCATTTAAAAATGTTATGTAAAGCATTAGAGGTATATTAAAATAGGTAATAAAGATTTTCTTGGATAAGATATATACATATTATTAGAGACTAAACTATTGATATAGGAATAAAATTAAAATAAATAACAAATTTTTTTATTTTTTAAATTATAAGTAAAA